CATCAAAAAAGACTTACAAGGCTGTCTGTGACTGCTATTACAAATGTAGTTCCTGATGGCCAGTTACAGTAAACTGTGAAAAAGGAAGAAGGTATGTGAGAAAAGAGATTGGTGGGTGGATTGAAGGATCTGTACAATTGAAACCTTTACAAAATATACAGTAAATAGTTGTAATTTCCTGACAAAATGCCAAAAATGTGTTTAATGGTAAGCTAAGAATTGTGTGTAGTAAAATATTAGTACTTGCACTAGAATCAGATTGATGATAAGAAGTGACATCTGCTATAATATTATCATGATTATCACATATAGTAAATGGTTAAAAAGATACAAAATTATGTAAATAGGAGACTTATGCAGTCTTTGTTTGCTTTCATTTTCATTAATTGCTGCTCTTAGAACTAAAGGATTTTAGTTTTGTGATGGATAGTCCTTTCAATTATATCCCGAGATGAAAGTGGACTAAAGGTCACTCTTGCAATGGTCATGTCTTTCCTCAGCAGGTAAACTTAATTAAGTGTTACATCTCTTTCCCTTGGAAAGATACATTTCCAATAAAAAAAATCCTTCTCAATGCAATCAATTATCTACACTGAAATGGCAGTGGAAGCTGGGTGCTGATAAGTCTCTGAAGATTTTTCTTAATGAAGAAAAAAGAAGATATAATTCAAAGCCCTCGGGGTATCTTATCCTGGGAAAAGAAAATTATCTCTGATTGCCTCCAAGGAAAAGCCAATTGCGTCCAATATCTCACCCTTACTTCAGGGGCACATTTAGTTAATGGCACATCACACAAGCATTGCCGACTTTTAGTTTAATGTATGCGCGTATTCTATCTGTCTTTTGCAGCTTCAGAAGACGTGACTTTGTGTGTGTAGTATGTTATAGGCTTCAAAACCTCATCTGAGTTTATCTTCTTGCAGAGAGCTGTCATGTCTGAGCCTTCGTTGATAGTAACATGGCGCACAGAGATGGCATTAAATCATCCCAGATGTTGGTTGTCAATGGTACCTTGCAAAGCAGATTTCATGATTTAATGTAAGGCAGCCAGGAAAGAACATTTACCATCAATTAAAGTCACCTTATACAATAAAGTAACTTTCAAGTGGAAGTATAGGCATGGCCATCTGGGATATTCCATAGTATGCAGTAAATATGCATTAAGAAAAAGAAGTGTGAAAACCAGATATACTGTACTGTGTATATATACAAACATTGTATTTTAATGTGAATTTTGTGTATTTTAATGTGAATACACCTAGTTTTGCTTGGCTTGTTATCAACAGAAATAATGCTAGATTATCCCATTTATTATCTGTGCAGTGTCATTTATGTGGAGGAAACACATTTAAATAAGCTGTAAATGTAAAATGCGCAATTACATGATTACTGTTTGATACATGATATGATTCACATGTAAAACATGGTCTAATAAGGTATCCTGGGTGGTTCAGTTGTAAAAAGTGCGGATTGAGCTCTGTGATCCAGACCTCACACGTACTAAGTTACTGTAGGTCCTGTCACTAACCAACTGTGACCAGGTTTCTCCAAGCAGCAGCACACAATTTGGCACAACACTGCTGGGGGTAAAATTGGGATTAGCTGGCCAATGCTATCTTGGTTCCTCGCAAAGTAGCAGCATCTGCGACATCACAAAAGCCTGCAGGCTTGCTGTGATGCTGGTCAGTAACGTGTCACTCCTCCAGTTGGAGCTGACCTCCAGCATGTCGCTGCAGAGCTGGGAGCCCATGAGAAGATTAGAGATTGGAAGAAATGGCTGGGTCAGGTGAGCCTGTCTGCCCTTCCTCAGTCTCCACATGTGGGCAGAGAGGGCATCGCTGTGAGCCATGATGTGCAAAGAAACCATTAATCGTGAACTCATTCTTCTGTGGCAAATGACAGGTCCTCGAAAATATTGTGTTGTGAAGACTATTATTTTTATATGGATAAGGAGAAAGAAGATGGAGGAATAATGTGACTCCTGTTTTGTTTTTATTTGATGTCAGGTGAACTGTGATTAGCATCAAAGATTCAAAACACGTAGACTGGACCGTACAGAAGTCATCAGTTGGGGAAATTACTGTAGATATTTAACATTGTAGTGCACCTTGTGTGCCATTTTCCCAAACCAAGGAGAATTATACCTTCTTTTCCAACCACCTTTCTAAACCTTTTCCAGTCCACAGTGTCTTGGACATTCTCTTGCTTCTTATCTTTCTTCAGTGAGAACTGTTGGTAATCACTTAAGGAATTAGAAATTAATCTCTGATGACATTACAATAAAGCACTGAAAGATGAGTTGATGTTGGGCTTATGCCAGAACCATTGATTTCTTTTTTCAGCCTTCACATAAAATCTTATGTAGAGTTATTGCCATTTATTATATTTTAATTAAGTTTTCTTACTACTAAGGCAGCATGGTGATGGAGTGGTCAAAATTTCTGCCTTGCAGTGCTGGGGTCCTGAACTCAATTCCAGACCTGGGGTGCAATCTGTGTGGAGGTTGTGTGGGTTTGTGCCAGGTGCTCTGGTTGACTCCCACAGTCCTAAGACATACAGGTAAATGGGCTTCTGGGAAAATGTGGTCTGCTGTGAGCGTGTTTCTGTCTTTGTGTCTGTGATGTACAGGCACTCCACCCAGGGTGTATCCTGCGTTGTGCCTGTTGCTTGCTGGGATCGGCTCTGGCTCCTTCGCAACTCTGTATTGGATAAAGCGATTAGAAAATGAATGGATGGATGCTTCCACTAATACTGTCTATCAGCATGGCTTGATAAAATCCTCTTCTTCTTTTCCTTCCACATGCCCTTCTCCTTCATAGTAGTACATTTGGCTGTGCTATAACTGCAACATATAATGCAGAAGGAAATGCATGTTGACTGAGTAACACTTCATTTGTGCTTTACAAACAGGTGAAAATAAAGGAGCTTGCTTAAAGTATTATACAGAAGGTGATCAAAACTCTGTGAAATTAGAAACTGAAATAAATGGCAACAAAGTAGATTTGCTTTTACAATTACATGCAATCTTGACTTCCCTTTACTAATGCCTTTGCTTGAAGGCATTATGCGGTGTAGGCATACAAGCATAAAATCTATACTGCCTCAAATCTTGACAGTCAAATTGAATTTCTGTTGGATCTTGGCTCAATGCTTAGCCTAGCAAACTCTATTTCATGGTCTGCTAGATCCTAAGGGTGTTTTATGTAATGCTATAAGATATATCTTAAACATAAACGGTGTAGGTTGTGCAACACAAAAAACGGATGTGATAATAGGAGCTATCCAGTTTTATCATCCTTTCTTATGGCTTCACTGGTTTCATGTTCTTGTTTTTATTAAACTATGAGCCAATCAAAATACTCGGATTTTCTCCCAAAACATGGATATCGACCCAAAAACTTTTTTTTCTTGTCACTCTTGGATTGATACTTAAAGTTTTTGTGAAAATATTCCATTTATTGCAAACTTGCAAATGTTTGAAGCAGTTATAAATGAATGAATCTCTGATGAATCACTGTATTCATTCAAAGTATTCACTATCTACATATGATAGGTCCAATTGGGAAAAAATATGATCACTTATTTACTAAAAATCATATGAATGATGATTCGAAACATTAACATATTAATGTACGTTAAATATTTTTAAATGTTTTGTGAATATTGTTACCTAGTTTTCTGATATATCCTGTATTTTACAGTATTTTCATTCATTTATATCGTTGAGCATGGTTGCAAGTAGTTTGTTATCTGGACAAATAATACGAAAGTAATGCTTTACATTTGTAACTATCCCTTCATAATTATAGTTTATACTGTATATTATTTGGCCTTCCTGGCTGAATCTACCAATTCAAAGTTAGGACCCAGGCAGCTGCCATTAATGTTGCATTCAATGAGGGAAACTGAATGCTGAATATACAGTATACTGTATCTGTTGGCTGCTGGCCACACATTGAAAGAGGTTACAGAACGACCCAACCAGCTTAATGACACCGACCAGCCCGCAAAAGAGGAAATGCATAAAGAACTTTGTCAAGTAGCAGTTATTAAAGAGTTACAGTTACATGTTGAATTATTTAGCTTCCATTTTGCTTTAATGTGAAATATGTTATTTTATGAGAAAGAGAAGCTTGCTTTGATTTACCTGTCTCTTGTTAAAAAAAAACTAAAAATAAGAATAAAAAATAGGCATTTAGTAACGGTCTGCTATGTGCAATTATGTAATTCTGCTTGTGTGCATATAACCTTTGTATAACAGAGCAATGTAAATGCTATTGATTTAAATGTGAAAAGCTTTGATTTTCTTTTTTCACTTTTTGAAAGGGCAGTGCCGGGTTTTTAGAGAGTTCCCAAAGTTCAGTGCAATGAGAATTTTCATATTGGATTATTCTTGGCCTTGTCAACAAAATATGCTCCCTTTCATTTGTGCTCTATCCCATTTTGGTTCCAATTAATTTTTACACAATTGCACAATTTTGTACACAAAAGTTTGAATCATACAAAACCCTTTAAAACTCATCACAAAAACACTCCCATCTTGTTGATCTCTCAGCAAAAAATCTCTCTCCTGTAAACCAAACACCAAGGAAAAGACTTAGTACTTTATTGAACATTTACCAATTAAGATCCTTTAAGCAAAGTTTAAATGCTTTAGTGATACATTCGTTGAGAGATGCTCGATAAAGAAAAAGCAAAGAAATTACTTTTGTAACAGATTATAGTATTTAACTATATGTGGCAGTTTTTGCATACTAATCAGAGCTCCTGAAAATATTTAGGCAGACTTCACTAAATATACAACTCCGGAGACAGTCTCATACCCTAGCTAACCAAGTGTGAAATAGCTTTGGCTAAGTAAGGAGGATATCCATTAATATTGATAAAGCCTAGGTGTTCTCAAGGTGGAATGTAAGTTCACCATAAGAAACTGATTTATGTCACCTTCAGTAAAGGTTAAAGCAAAACATTTATCAGGAGTCTTGAAGAGAAAGACTCACCTGCTAACAGTGCCCTTTCAGATGAACTTCAAAGTCCTGCAAGGTCTTCTACTTCATTTTCATCAGGGCCTTTAATCCTGTCCTGAAGAAAACAATATTGCTGCCATTTCAATTTATTAGCAATAGTTACAAAGGACTTTTTTGAAGGTGATTTGGTGTGTACTGGATGTACACTCTATAAATTTATTACTTCAGACTCATTCAGAGGAGATCCTTGAAACATTCAATATTTCCAAGTACAATTACCTTAGGAGAAACTTTTGCTTTCCAAGACTTATTTAAAGAAGAGTTATTCACTTTATAATTGCCAAAAGTGACCTTCTTCTTGTGACGAATGGCTCAGTTGTACTGTAAAACCGTCCTATAAGGCCATGAGGCTGTTTAAAAAGTACTATTTCACTTTTTACATTTGTAGGAAAGCTGCTTTTTGAAGAAGTCTAATTCAGAGCTTTACTTACAGTAATAACTTAGAAATAAAACCCATAAATAAAGGTATGTTTTGGTATGCCTGTTAAAAATGAGAAAAAATATGTCCTCCCTCACTTGGATGACTGCATAACACCTGAAAACTGCTGGTTGGTCACAATCAACAGTTTGCACAATCATTATCCAAATCTTCTTACTTACTGTATACTGTATATAGACTGGTACACTACCCTGTAACACATGTTAATAGATCATACTCTAACACCTTAAAATGTTCAAGTAGATACAGTAGCTGCATCAGCGTGTTAATAAACAAGTAAAGGTTTATTCACGTAAACAAGTAAAGGTTTATTTCCATGCTGAAAAGAGCAGAAAGGAAACACAACGTTTCGGCTGTGGAGCACTCTTCGGGTGTCACACCAAAACGTTCTGTTTAATTCTTCTCTTTTCGGCACAAAATAAACCTTTTCGTGTTCCTTTACACCTTAGAATGTTGTCCACACTGACCAGAACACAAATAATCTCCTGTACCACACCATTATTGCATATTTTGTTTAATTCACATTTCAGAAGTGAAAAAATACAACCTTTTGACACTTTGGTTCTCCGAGTGAAAAAAACTTCTTCAGGTTCTCAATAGAAGCTAGCATGTAGTGTTTCCCTCAGTAGACTGCATTACAACTGAATGTAATCCAAAAAGCACTAATCCCTCACTATACAATGAACTATTACATATGTTTTTACTTTATGAGCTGTTTTCAAGGAAAGAATAAAGCTCAAATATTGCAGAATTAATGTATTACAATTTTCATTTGCATCAATCGCTACTGTACTGTGTGTAAATTGAAGTCTCACAGACCTAATGATAGGATGCCATTGCAAATTATATCAAAATTAAGTCTTTCTTTACAAAAATCATCCATACATTCCAAAAAGAGTCCCTTTTTATTACAGTGTTCAGGATCTGTAGTTCCACATTTTTATTTACAAATTACATTGGTATTGTATAAAATGCAATGGAAACCTCCTTTTTTCCAAAAGCATACCCAAGCTTTAAAGTTTTAAAGAATTCAGCTCTTTTTCAGGAAGAATATTTAACCCAAGCAAACATGGCCATGTTTTGTCAAACAACCAGAATATTTCCACAACTTTAATCAGTTTCAGATTGTCATCCCACAACCCAATAAAAGTACAGTATCACACTTTTTCACAAAGTACTAGAGAAACATAGATAAAGCATTAGCTCTATGTCACACATTGTTACTCTTTTTCACTTTTTTTCACAGTTTTTTCCCATTTGGATAGAAAGAAAGTCTTGAAAATGACCAATACAGACCACTGGGAACTGAAGATGCACAGTGTCTCTTCACATTGGGGACAATAATGGCTACCACTACCTCCGTCCCCCAACTCATTACATGACAAAAGTGCCTGAAGTGTACCTGGGAGAGTAACACTTTCTTGGAGTGTAAAGGGGCAGCTCATTTTCTGTGCCACTGATCTTGTCCTCTCATCTTATTTATCCTCCATCAAAGGTGCATCATTACACCAAGCCTTTTTATACGAACAACAGAGAAAAAGAAAAAAATCCCTTTGACTCATCCCACTTTTGGCTTCAGTGTCTAAAGGCTGTTATACAGTTTCCTTATTATAAATAATACTGTATATTGTGGGTTTACATAACCCTAATGGTTTTCATGACATCAATATATATATATATTTGGTGGAGAAAATATTATCCAAACTTTAAAGCCTCCAAACATAAACAACTGATACAATCTATAGTTTCTCTGACCTCTAGAGAATTTGTTATGTAAATACCACTTTAAATGCAGCATATTTAGTGCTGAAGGACTTGTGATCATGTCGTGTTTGTCCTCAGGCCATGTATAGTTCCCAGTAGGGAGCAAAGACTGGCTACATTACTTTGCTGGATTATTGACCTGTTTTGTGGGGCATTGACCTCTGCCTGTAGTGTTCCTGATTTAGCATGTCAAAAGCAGTCCATGTGTATTAATATCTTTACATTTCTATGGACGTCTCCTATAGAAATGTTTTGACAGGACTTGCAAGATAACATGACTTGAAAATGAGGGTGGAAAAAGGCACAGATGACATTAAACCAACAGTTAATTTTTATTATATATTCATTTAAAAAGCCAGAGATGAGAGTAAAAACTTTCTGTAAACTGCTTATAACCCTTAGGTTTAAGAAGAAAAAAAAGTATGGATAACAAATTATGAGTTCAGAGTCACTAAAAGCCTATATTTAACTCTTCCATAATGAATGGATCTGGAATCAAATATTTATTTTTAAAATGATTAAAATAAGCAATGACTTACAAAAATATCCTTGTGGAAGATGTCTGACCTCAAGATATTGGAAGGCAAAGCACTTGCCTACATGGGGAATTGTTCATTTTCCACACCATTAATGGCTCTGTTTTTAAGTGGAGTCTGTTTTTGTAGCTTTATCGTTTATTTTCCAGTTCCAAGCAAGCAAACTGATTTCTGCTCTTGCAAATTCCATTAAATGAAATTAAAAAGAAGAACGTGAGACAGGAAATGTGTGTTTTTGACTGTGGCACTGTCACCCTGTTTAAATCTTCCAATTAACGGTATTGTCTTTGCCAATTAATTATACGCGCCATTCAGTCCGACTGAGGTTGTTCTCTTTGAGAAACAGCTAATAGGCTTGACATTATCTGGAACCCACCTGATTTGCCTCAAAGCTGAGAAAAACAAATTGACTATTAAAGACCAGATTTGTTTCTCCCCCATCCATTGTTACAAATTAAAGCTATATATGAGCTTCTCTTTTTTTCATTCACTTTTACAATTTATCTTCTAGTCAGTGTGTCTCATTGTATTATTTATTATTTTCACACACAATTGTCCAGAAACAATATCTTTACCAGGGTCACACAGTTGTGCAGTGTGGAGTGGTTAGCATTTTCACCCAACGCCACTGGGGCCCTCAGTTCAATTCCATACCTGCGGTACTGTCTGTGTGGAGTTTGTATGTTCTCCCCATGTTCCTGTGGGGTTCCAATGGGTGCCCCAGTTTTCGCACACAGACCAAAGACATACTGTTAGGCTCATGGGCTTTTGGGAAAATTGGCCCTGGTGTGAATGTCTGTGCGTGTCCAGCTATGTACTGGGAGCCCGTCCAGGGTGTATCTTGTCTTGGGTTTCTTGGGAGACTCTGGTTCCCCCACGACTGTGTTTTGGACAAAGAGGGTAGAAAACAGATGGACGGAATCATGCAGCAAGCATTTATTTTTGAAGAACAATACAATATACCATAATTAATAAATGGGGTTTTTGTATATTATTGGAATTATTCAAAACTGTATACGGTATTTCACCTAATTTCTCCTATTTTGTCTTGCAGAGGGATTGACTTAATGGTCATCTGTAGTGTGTTGTATGAATACCTCTGAGGTAACACATGCAAAAATTCAGACACAAGTGTACCTAACATGCAGAATTAAGAAGATGATTAGCAACAAATATTTGCGGCAACATGAAGAATTTATTACAGTCATCCAAGAGGTTATTAACTGATTAAAATAACTAGAAGGGATCGACTTTCTCTGAACATAAAGTGGGAAAGAAATGAAAGGAATGAAATTTCATTTGATGGGTGAGGGGAATAAACACAAATTTATCATCATAGATGTGGAAACCTCAGTCTTGCTATTAAATGTACCACAATGTTTTACTGGGAAATTCTTCAAATCCAAGAAAATGTTTTAAAGGAACACACTGTTTGGAAACTGGAAATGCATGAATGATCTTTCTGGCAGTAAATGGCAATGTATAATATGCTGCACAATACCATTGCAAATGTATTTTCACTCTGTGATTTGCAAAATCAGCAAAGCACTCTGTCTCTTAATGCTGTTATGGTCAAAACTTATCCAGCACTCAACATAAAACCTGTTATTTGTGATTGTGTTCTGGATCTTTTTTAGGCTCTTCCAAACCAATTATTTCCCATTTCACACAAAGTGCTAAGAAAAGGCAGTTTTGCAGAAAAAAATCCCTGCCCCCTGGTGGTTAATAGATGTCATTAAAGTTATCTTATTGCAGTGTCACTTGATAAATGGAAGCATGCTTTATCTTTTACACAGCAAATGTTTGTGTACAAGAATAATCTTCTTAAGTGAAGTTGATCGTGTTTTATATTCCACTAAGGACTTTTTTCTGTCATCTGCATCACCAGTCTAACAGCAATTGTACAGCATACTGGCAATAAAGACAAGGACAAGCCCATCCTATACTTGGTTTGCCTGTCAGCACCTAAATCTCTGTGCTCTAATGTCTATTAAAGCTATGAGCAGTATGATGTTTTCATTCATCTAGGACCCATAGTAGTAGATGAATAAATAGACCAAAGAAGTAACAGTGTCAGAAAAAAGATACTCTTGTTTATTCTCTTGCTCTACGTAGTATGAACAATCTCCATTTTAGCTAGCATTGGAAAAGTTCAGAATATGGGACCCATTGCAGGTTTGAACTTTTTATAACCTGACTGCTGACTGCATATCTGCCTGACTCATATTTCATTTGAAGCTGAATATCACAGAGCAAAACCTATAAGAGGAGCCCACCATGTATAATTTTATATACAGTGGTTCTTTGATGATATCA